AGCTCCAACCCTCCCGTCAGTAATACTTCTCGACAGACCTTCAAATCAAGAGACTCAGATGAGAAGGCAGGCCTGGGGTTTACACTACTTGGCACACTCCCAACTCGCCGAAGCATCGTAGCCCCACTATCCAAAGAACTTGACCTTCTCTGCTCCGTGTTTATAAGCTCAGGAACATTAGGATTAACGCTCACATAAACTGACTTTTCCCGCGTCACCAAAAACCCCAAACTAACGTTTAAACTAGCACCTTTAGCTTTGCCTGAAAGGTTAAAGCTTGTTGTCCATTTACCATAACTCTTTTCCCCTTCTAACTCCTCAAAAGTAAGTGGTAACAGTCTCGTAAGATCCACCCAATACTTCCCAATATCAAGCCCTGGTGCCCCACTCACAGAAACGTAGATCAAGAAAAGCTTCTCCTCATACTTAACCGAATGGTTAGGGCCATTTCTACTTCCATACACAGAACACTTATGCATCAAAGTTTCATCAAATTCAGCTATGCCCTCAATTACCCTCGAAGATCGAGTCTCTACCACCTCATCCTTTCTCTTCCAATGCACACATACACTAAGATTGTTGAAATTTTCTGGCCATCCTTCAATTGAATGGACATAAAGGTAAAAACAACAACTGAATTTCCGATTCCCAATATGAGTGAGAGCCTTTAAGGGTTTCTTCCAGTTCCATACTGAAGATGATTTCTTGTCCTTATGCAAAAAATCCTCCCTAAGTAATCTTGGGTTTGAATTCAAATTTGATTTCGATTCCGGAAAACGGGTTTTTCCAGCAGATTTGGATCGTGCATTAGAAGGGGAAAGCAAAACCTTTGGAGGGGGTTTATGCAAGTAAAGGGCTTTGCTTATTTCCTCAATATCACGCAGCAATTGACCATGGTTGGAATTCCCAGCACTGCTGTTGCTCACAGACTCAGTTTTGCGCAACATCATCTTTGTCTTTGCATAAAAAACAATCTGATAACATAATCACCAACCAAAGCGACCATGGGAACTTGTAAGCAATCCAGCTTTTCTCTGATATCTTAGAGATTCTTTTGGATCAAACAACAAAAACAAAACGAAAATAGCTACTTAGCACACAATCATAATCAAAATTAAACTGATACACCAAATCAGAAATGCTCAAAAAGAAAACCAATGAAATATCACCAAATTTACAATACTAACATGAACCAACCTCGCTATAGTCTCTGTCTCTGAACTCCATAGAGATGCCTTGCTGAAGAGAAGCGTCTGGTTGGTTTAGGTATTTCCTCGGAAATCGCGTTAAAATTTTCCGGGAAAACTTTAACGTGACAAATGTTAAAGGCGAAAGGAAGACGAATGTTTTGTCTCTAGTGTATTCGACGGTGGAGTAGGTTTGAATCGTCGCTGTGTCAACTCATACCAGCTTCACAGGGTCATAATCGTCATTGCACACTTCTTCTTCTTTTTTTCTTTTTTTTTAATGACAACACTTCTTCTTCTTCTTTCTTTTCTTTTATATTTATTTTATATTTTATATTTATTTGTTTACCTGTTTACCTGTTTACCTGTTTACCTGCTTTTGTGTGTGGCTCTGCTGGGGTCCACGTCGACGGTTGGTATGAGATACGACATGGACAGCTAATTTAATCCATTCCAGTAGTCAGTGAGAAAGCAGAGGCAGCGAGAGCGTGGGCGGAGCTAGAAGAAATGAAGCGAGAATGAACCGGATAATGCAAGCACCGTACGATGCTACGGTCCGGTTCGCGCTATCTTCGCTGGAGCGAAATTTGCTACCGGATGCGGTTGTACGGAGGCTGACCCGCCTGCTCTTAGCAAGTCGTCTTCGGTCCGGTTACAAGCCTACCTCTGAGCTCCAACTCTCTGAGCTCCTCCAGTTTGTACAGTGTAAACTAACCCCTCCTCTCCTCTGTACTCTCAAATTATAGTTTATATATTCTAATTAGTAGTTAATTGGAGTTTAAGGTATTATTACTGTTAATACAGCTCTGAAGGAGATGCCCATAGCCATAAAGACTGATGACCCAAAAGCTCAACATTATGAAGTGCCCACATCTTTTTTCAAAATCGTGCTTGGAAAAAATCTCAAATACAGGTATTTTTAGGGGGTGCTTTTTTGTTCCATTATTTTTGGGAGTTGGTCTAATTTTGGTAAATATGGGCTAATATTGCAGTTGTTGTTACTTCACTGATGGGTCAAGCACCTTGGAGGAAGCTGAGAAGGCAATGCTGGAGCTTTACTGTGAAAGGTCACAGATAAAAGATGGTTACACTGTTCTTGATGTTGGGTGTGGCTGGGGATCTTTATCTTTGTACATTGCACAGAAATATAGCAACTGTAAGGTTACGGGGATTTGCAATTCAACAACACAAAAGGCTTTCATAGAAGAGCAATGCCGGTGCGTAACGATTATAACATTATATGTTAATGTTAACCAGATTATGAGTTGCTAGACTATGTGCTTTGATTCAAGTGAGTTTTGTTGCCAATTTGTAGGAATCTTCAGCTGCAGAATGTAGAGATCATAGTCGCAGATATCAGCACGTTTGAGATGGAAGCATCCTATGACCGAATATTTTCGATCGAAATGTTCGAGGTAAAGCCCTTTTCATGCTATGTAATGTGGTAGGCATGATGTTACATTGTTGATTTTGTTGAAGAATTGGTTTTTGCATTTGACAGCATATGAAGAACTACAAGGATCTTCTGAAGAAGATTTCCGGGTGGATGAAACAGGATGGCATTCTGTTTGTTCATCATTTCTGCCACAAAGCATTTGCTTACCATTTTGAGGTGAAACCGGAGGAAGATTTCATTTTGCTTAGTGGCACATCATCCACGTTAAGTGCATAACATTTTTTCCTGCCTTTTTTCTGATGCAGGACAAAAGTGAAGATGACTGGATTACTAGGTATTTCTTCAGTGGGGGTACAATGCCTTCAGCAAATCTACTACTTTATTTTCAGGTGATCCCCTCACATTACTTTCACACTGTCAAACTTCGAATTCGATCATTTGCTTGCTAACAGTCTTACTACTTGAGGCTTGATAATCTTGTAGCATTATTAAGTAAGGAGGAGATTCAGAGTTCATCCAAATCACTTGTTAATGGCTTCTTGGTGATGATTTTTTTTGCAGGATGATGTTTCCATTGTCAATCATTGGCTTGTTAATGGGAAACACTATGCACAGACAAGGTAAACCTCAACTCTTTACTTTGGGATGCCTCAAATACTAAGAGAAAACTGAAAACCCTTTTGTTTTGCAGTGAAGAGTGGCTTAAGAGAATGGACCAGAATGTGGCTTCCATAAAACCAATTATGGAGTCAACTTATGGAAAGGATTCGGCTGTGAAGTGGACCGTATATTGGAGAACATTCTTCATTTCCGTTGCAGAACTCTTTGGGTACAACAATGGAGAAGAGTGGATGGTTGCTCATTCCCTATTCAAGAAGAAATGAAGTAATGAAAGCCTGTTTCGCTACGAGGCAACGCTGATGGAAATCAAATGTATTTTTGTTGTTCAAATAATGTTCCTTCTTGAGATTGTAAAAGCAGCAATGTCAATGGAAATGAATTGTATCTTTGTTGTTCAAAATGTTCCTGTTGAGATTGTAAAAGCATGAACCCTTCAAATGATATCGTCGTGTTGGTTAACTAGCTCAGCAAAAGTACAATCTAGACGTGTCAAACAATTTGCTCTTTGAACACAGCAAAAGCAAAAGCATTCTATATTTTCTGTTTCCAAAAACTACTGAGAAGAACCAGTCGGAGCGCCATCGGTTTTGGTCGTTCTGGAGGAAGCAACTTCAATGGTGGAGCTCACAGGCCCTTCAGCCTCCAAGAAGCGACTCAACTGTTGATCTTTCAAATGTTGCTGCCCAGAACAAGAACCAAAAAAAACCCAACAAACGAATTGAGCAAGTATTGATGATTTCAATGAAGACTCGGGAGATGGTTTTTATCGAAAACTTACAGAGAGGCAAGCTTTGTATTTCTGCCATTCTGAAAGGCATTCTTCTTTGTCCCATTGACCCTTTACAAACTTCTCTGAATACCACCTGCACATAATATCAAAACCCTTTACAGAAAAACCAAAAATGGATTGAGGGTATTGAGAAATAGATTAGGGTTGAAGATGGGTTTAAGGGGAATAGGGAGAAGATTTGTCTGCAAAGAACATAGAAAAGCTACACATAAAGAAAATGAGAGATGACCTGCTGAAACAATTGTGGTAAGCAGCTCTAAGATTAGCACAGGGTGATGTTGAAGAAGAAGAGGGGCTTCTCTTGTTCTGTGAATCTGTGAGGATCCCCATCCCGTCACAGGTGCCAGGTCCGATTTCACTCTCAGATGAAAACGTTGTGGGCCGGTATATATATTCTTGGGTAGATTGGGCTGTTTCAAAAGCACTGGGAAAGTGATAACTGGGGCTCATATTCTCGGGCCTTTTGAGAATTTTGATTAGACAACTGGGCCTCCATTTTTATTATTAATTTTCTATTTATTAAGTTTTTTTTTTAAACAATTGATATTGGGGAAGTGGGGAATCGTAGGACCATGTGTGCAGGGATAAATGTTCTTAACCATTTGAGCTACAAGCCCCTGACTTGTTAACTAAATATTTAGGCCCCGTTTGGTTAATGGGAAAGTCCAAATATGAGAAATGGTTTCCTGACATATGGGAAAGTAGAAGGAAAATGAAGCCTTCCTTCCCCTTCGGGTTTTGTTTTCCCTCCTCATAGGAAAGTTTGGGAAAATGAACCAACATTAAATGCACATTTTTCATGATGATTTTGTCCCTATTAATAATTTAGAATTACAATATAGCACTAAATGCATTTTTTTAAGAAGAAGCTAGCAACCTTCTTTCTAAGTCGACTTAAGCTCCATGTGTTTTTTTTCCTCAAAAAACTCTCATGAAACAAATGGAAGATCCAAATCTGCTGATTCTGAAATGAACTGAAAATGAGAAGCAGAATCCGCTTTGTCCATGGATGATCCTTCGGTGCATATGCTATCCTTTTCATGTTTGCTGTCATCCATCGCAACCTAGTCCACATAACTATCACAGGCATCCTTTGCAATAACCATAGTCTTCTCATCGAGGTCTACGTTATAATCCTTAATGATCTCATCCACATAGATCATTTCAACAGCACACTCATCATTAGCATGACCAGGAACTTGATCAGATTTCAACTGTTCAGACATTTCTGTCCCCACTTCCACAATGTTAAATTTAGTGTCATCATCCTCATATTCTTCATTTTTTTCAGCAGCCAAAAGGTCCAGATCAGGCTTAGGTTTGAGTGGCGACACATGTTCAGCATCTGACTCCGTCGCACTACTCAAGTTCGCCTCATCAAGTGCCTGACATAAAAAATTAATTGACTTCGAGAGCTCCAACCCTCCCGTCAGTAATACTTCTCGACAGACCTTCAAATCAAGAGACTCAGATGAGAAGGCAGGCCTGGGGTTTACACTACTTGGCACACTCCCAACTCGCCGAAGCATCGTAGCCCCACTATCCAAAGAACTTGACCTTCTCTGCTCCGTGTTTATAAGCTCAGGAACATTAGGATTAACGCTCACATAAACTGACTTTTCCCGCGTCACCAAAAACCCCAAACTAACGTTTAAACTAGCACCTTTAGCTTTGCCTGAAAGGTTAAAGCTTGTTGTCCATTTACCATAACTCTTTTCCCCTTCTAACTCCTCAAAAGTAAGTGGTAACAGTCTGGTAAGATCCACCCAATGCTTCCCAATATCAAGCCCTGGTGCCCCACTCACAGAAACGTAGATCAAGAAAAGCTTCTCCTCACACTCAACCAAATGGTTAGGGCCATTTCTACTTCCATACACCGAACACTTACGCATCAAAGTTTCATCAAATTCAGCTATGCCCTCTACTACCCTCGAAGATCAAGTCTCTACCACCTCATCCTTTCCCTTCCAATGCACGCATACACTAAGATTGTTGAAATTTTCTGGCAACCCTTCAATTGAATGGACATGAAGGTAAAAACAACTGAATTTCCGATTCCCAATATTAGTGAGAGCCTTTAGGGCTTCTTCCAGTTCCATACTGAAGATGATTTCTTGTCCTTATGCAACAAATCCTCCCTAAGTAATCTTGGGTTTGAATTCAAATTTGATTTCGATTCTGGAAAACGGGTTTCTCCAGCAGATTTGGATCGTGCATTAGAAGGGGAAAGCAAAACCTTTGGATGGGGTTTATGCAAGTAAAGGGCTTTTGCTCATTTCCTCAATGTCACGCAGCAATTGACCATGGTTGGAATTCCCAGCACTGCTGTTGCTCACAGACTCAGTTTTGCGCAACATCATCTTTATCTTTGCATAAAAACAATTTGATAACATAATCACCAACCAAAGCGACCATGGGAACTTGTAAGCAATCCAGATTTTCTCTGATATCATAGAGATTCTTTTGGATCAAACAACAAAAAACAAAACGAAAATAGCTACTTAGCACACAATCATAATCAAAATTAAACTGATACACCAAATCAGAAATGCTCAAAAAGAAAACCAATGAAATATCACCAAATTTACAATACTAACATGAACCAACCTCGCTTTAGTCTCAGTCTCTGAACTCCATAGAGATGCCTTGCTGAAGAGAAGCGTCTGGTTGGTTTAGGTATTTCCTCGGAAATCGCGTTAAAATTTTCCTGGTAAACTTTAACGTGACAAATGTCAACGGCGAAAGGAAGATGAATCTTTTGTCTCTAGTGTATTTGAAAGTGGAGTAGGTTTGAATCGTCGGTGTGTCAACTCAGCTTCACAGGGTCATAATCGTCATTGCATACTTCATCTTCTTTTATTTATTTATTTATTTGTTTACCTGTTTTTGTGTGCGCCTCTGCTGAGGTCCACGTCGACGGTTGGTATGAGGTACGACATGGACAGCTAATTTAATCCATTCCAGTAGTGAGAGAGAAAGCAAAGGCAGTGAGAAAGTGGGCGAAGCTAGAAGAAACGAAGCGAGAATGAACCAGATAATGCAAGCACCATACAATGCTACGGTCCGGTTCGCGCTATCTTCGCTGGAGCGAAATTTGCTACCGGATGCGGTTGTACGGAGGCTGACCCGCCTGCTCTTAGCAAGTCGTCTTCGGTCCGGTTGCAAGACTACCTCTGATCTCCAACTCTCTGACCTCCTCCAGTTCGTACAGTGTAAACTAACCACTCCTCTCCTCTATATTCTCAAATTTTAGTTTATATATTCTAAGGTCATCCCAATGGTTGGGGCTCTAAAAGGGTTGATTGAGCCCCGTTTAGAGCTCGATGGAATATTTGGGGCTCTAAGTGCATTTTTCCCACAATATAAGGCCTTATATTCATATCAAGCTCTATATTTTTTTATAATGTAATTTGATTTAAGTGGTGTTTTTTTTTCAGTTAACTATTTTATTTTAATGTTTATTTATGTTATGTTAGTTTTTTTTTTTTTTTGAACATTTCAACCCAAAAAATAAAAATTTGGACAAGATTTGGAAATCAACATTTTATTTCAACTTTGGAAATCAACACAGCTTTTGTAAGAAAAAAGTGGGTCAGTATTGTGAGTCGCATGGTGGCAAACATGCTGTTGACAAAAGAAAAAAAAGGCAAGTTTGGCTTTGTACAATCACAAGGCAGGTGAGAGACCAGAAAATGTGGGCTGCAACTTTTCTCCTTGCGGGACCCACTTGATTTCAAGGGTTTCAACCAAGCATATGAATTTAGGTAATGCTCTAGTTGGGCTTCAAGTTTTAGAGCCTTGAATTTGCATTATTGGGGATGCTTTTTTTAAGGAAAGTTTGTATTTATGGGAGTCTTATGGTGGTTGAGGCCCAAATAGAGTCCCCATTGGGGATGCCCTAGTTAGTAGTTAATTGGGGTTTTACTATTAATACAGCTCTGAAGGAGATGCCCATAGCCATAAAGACTGATGACCCGAAAGCTCAGCATTATGAAGTGCCCACATCTTTATTCAAAATAGTGCTCGGAAAAAATCTCAAATACAGGTACTTTTAGGGTGTTTTTCTTTCTCTTTCTTGCTTTTTTGTTCCATTATTTTTGGGAGTTGGTCTAATTTTGGTAAATATGGGCTAATATTGCAGTTGTTGTTACTTCACTGATGGGTCAAGCACCTTGGAGGAAGCTGAGAAGGCAATGCTGGAGCTTTACTGTGAAAGGTCACAGATAAAAGATGGTCACACTGTTCTTGATGTTGGGTGTGGCTGGGGATCTTTGTCTTTGTACATTGCACAGAAATATAGCAACTGTAAGGTTACAGGGATTTGCAATTCAACAACACAAAAGGCTTTCATAGAAGAGCAATGTCGGTGCGTAACGTGTTGAAGAATATTAGTCCCACATCGGAAACTTGACTAAATAAAATACAATATATAACGAATTGTTTCACTACTAATATCACCGAGGCCTTTTGTGATAAAACCCCACACCTACTGGGCTTTGTAGGTGGTTAAGTTGGGGACAATATCAGTGTTGTTAGTAGTGGGCAGTTGGCATGTTTCTCCGAATTTAACATAGTATCAGAGCGGGTTAATTGACTGAGCTTGAATTGGGCCTCTACTCTTACCAAATATGCGGTGTTCATATGTTGGGCTTGAATGTTTACCCCTACCCTTTACCCAATACGTGGTGCTCATGTGTTGGGCTTGAATGATTGACTCTGATGTGGACTTGGCTCCACGTGTGGCCCACTATGTGGTGGTCTCACATGAGGGGACGTGTTGAGGAATATAAGTCTCATATCGGAAACTTGACTAAATAAAATAAAATATATAATGAATTGTTTCACTACTAATATCATCGAGGCCTTTTGTGATAAAATCTCATACCTACTGGGCTTTGTAGGTTGTTAAGTTGGGGATAATATTGGTGTTGTTAGTAGTGGACCGCTGGCCTGTTTCTCTAAATTTAACATAACGATTATATGTTAATGTTAACCAGATTATGAGTTGATAGACTGTGTGCTTTGATTCAAGTGAGTTTTGTTGCCAATTTGTAGGAATCTTCAGCTGCAGAATGTAGAGATCATAGTCGCCGATATCAGCACATTTGAGATGGAAGCATCCTATGACCGAATATTTTCTATCGGAATGTTTGAGGTAAAGCTCTTTTCATGCTATGTGATGTGATAGACATGATGTTACATTGTTGATTTTGTTGAAGAATTGGGTTTTGCATTTGACAGCATATGAAGAATTACAGGGATCTTCTGAAGAAGATTTCCGGGTGGATGAAACAGGATGGCCTTCTGTTTGTTCAGCATTTCTGCCACAAAGCATTTGCTTTCCATTTTGAGGTGAAACCGGAGGAAGATTTCATTTTGCTTAGTGGCACATCATCCACGTTAAGTGCATAACTTTTTTTCCTGCCTTTTTTCTGCTGCAGGACAAAAGTGAGGACGACTGGATTACTAGGTATTTCTTCAGTGGGGGCACAATGCCTTCAGCAAATCTACTACTTTATTTCCAGGTGATCCCCTCGCATTACTTTCACACTGTCAAACTTCGAATTCGATCATTCGCTTGCTAACAGTCTTACTACTTGAGGCTTCATAATCTTGTAGCATTATTAAGTAAGGAGGAGATTCAGAGTTCATCCAAATAACTTGTTAATGGCTTCTTGGTGATGATTTTTTTTGCAGGATGATGTTTCCATTGTCAGTCATTGGCTTGTTAATGGGAAACACTATGCACAGACAAGGTAAACCTCAACTCTTTACTTTGGGATGCCTCAAATACTAGGAGAAAGCTGAAAACCCTTTTGTTTTGCAGTGTAGAGTGGCTTAAGAGAATGGACCAGAATGTGGCTTCCATAAAACCAATTATGGAGTCAACTTATGGAAAGGATTCGGCTGTGAAGTGGACCGTATATTGGAGAACATTCTTCATTTCCGTTGCAGAACTCTTTGGGTATAACAATGGGGAAGAGTGGATGGTTGCTCATTTCCTATTCAAGAAGAAATGAAGTAATCAAAGCCTGTTTCGCTACGAGGCAACTCCGATGGAAATCAAATGTATATTTGTTGTTCAAATAATGTTCCTTCTTGAGATTGTAAAAGCAGCAATGTCAATGGAAATGAATTGTATCTTTGTTGTTCAATAATGTTCCTCTTGAGATTGTAAAAGCAGGAACCCTTCAAATGATATCGTCGTGTTGATTAACTAGCTCAGCAAAAGTACAATCTAGACGTGTCAAACAATTTGCTCTTTGAACACAGCAAAAGCAAAAGCATTCTATATTTTCTGTTTCCAAAAACTACTGAGAAGAACCAGTCGGAGCGCCATCGGTTTTGGTCGTTCTGGAGGAAGCAACTTCAATGGTGGAGCTCACAGGCCCTTCAGCCTCCAAGAAGCGACTCAACTGTTGATCTTTCAAATGTTGCTGCCCAGAACAAGAACCAAAAAAAACCCAACAAACGAATTGAGCAAGTATTGATGATTTCAATGAAGACTCGGGAGATGGTTTTTATCGAAAACTTACAGAGAGGCAAGCTTTGTATTTCTGCCATTCTGAAAGGCATTCTTCTTTGTCCCATTGACCCTTTACAAACTTCTCTGAATACCACCTGCACATAATATCAAAACCCTTTACAGAAAAACCAAAAATGGATTGAGGGTATTGAGAAATACATTAGGGTTGAAGATGGGTTTAAGGGGAATAGGGAGAAGATTTGTCTGCAAAGAACATAGAAAATATACACATAAAGAAAATAAGAGATGACCTGCTGAAACAATTGTGGTAAGCAGCTCTGAGATTAGCACAGGGTGATGTTGAAGAAGAAGAGGGGCTTCTCTTGTTCTGTGAATCTGTGAGGATCCCCATCCCGTCACAGGTGGCAGGTCCGATTTCACTCTCAGATGAAAACGTTATGGGCCGGTATATATATTCTTGGGTAGATTGGGCTGTTTCAAAAGCACTGGGAAAGTGATAACTGGGGCTCATATTCTCGGGCCTTTTGAGAATTTTGATTAGACAACTGGGCCTCCATTTTTATTATTAATTTTCTATTTATTAAGTTTTTTTTTTTAAACAATTGATATTGGGGAAGAGGGAATCATAGGACCTTGTGTGCAGGGATAAATGTTCTTAATCATTTGAGTTACAAGCCCTTTGCTTGTTAACTAAATATTTAGGCCCCGTTTGGTTAATGGGAAAGTCCAAATATGAGAAATGGTTTCCTGACATATGGGAAAGTAGAAGGAAAATGAAGCCTTCCTTCCCCTTCGGGTTTTGTTTTCCCTCCTCATAGGAAAGTTTGGGAAAATGAACCAACATTAAATGCACATTTTTCATGATGATTTTGTCCCTATTAATAATTTAGAATTACAATATAGCACTAAATGCATTTTTTTAAGAGGAATGTTAGCAACCTTCTTTCTAATGTTCTCCCTTCTCCTCATGACAAGTGTCACTTTCCTTACAATTAAAATAATATAATTAATGCATCACACAAGTTAGTTTTTGTTTTCCAAGTTTACCATTATTAAATGAATTAGCTTTTATATTTCCTTCAATTTATCCAAATTTTGTTACAACTTCCTTATCACATTGTTAAAAATTAAATTTTTAAAAAACATAAGAAAAAACTTCATTATTATTATTATTATTTAAATAAGTTTGTTTCATGACCATGTTATCATGAAAGTGATATCATCATAAAAACTTCAGTTTTTATTTTCTTATTTAATTTTTAAACAAGGTAGTAAGAA